GTACCAGGACGAGACCGGCGCGACCGGCTGCATCGACTGCCGCTTTTGCCCTGCTGGCGCGACGCTCGAGCTGGCGGCGGCTTGCGCGCCGGGCAAATACGCCAACGCGACGGACGACGACGGCATCCCCGACTGCTTCGACTGCCCGGCGGGCTCGTCGTGTCCGCGCGGCGCCGCGCTTCCGACGCAGTGCGCGGTGGGCACGGTCGCGCCGACTGAGCGGATGGAGATGTGTGCCAGCTGCGCCGGCGGGACCTACCAGAACGACACTGGCGCGACATCCTGCCGCGACTGCGAGGCGGGCAGCTACTGCGCTAAGGGCGCGGCGGCGCCGCTGCCGTGCGAGAAGGGCACGTTCTCGAACGCCACGGACCTCACCGCCGCGGGCGAGTGCACCGACGCCTCGCCGGGCCACTTCGCCACCACGGGCTCGACGCAGCAGACGGCGTGCGCCAAGGGGTCGTACACGGACGCGTACAGGCAGGGCGAGAGCACACCCTGCGCCGGCGGCACGTACCAGGACGAGGGCGGCAAGACGGAGTGCAAGCCGTGCGAGCAAGGCCGCTACTGCCCTGAGGGCGCGGCGGCGGCGCTGCCGTGCGAGAAGGGCAGCTACTCGCGCGCGACCGACAACGACGAGCCGCAAGACTGCACGCTGGCTGAGCCTGGCTTCTTCGCGGTGACGGGCTCCATTGTGCAGACGCCGTGCGCGCTGGGCACCTTCAGCGCCCTCGCCGGGCAGAGCATCTGCAAGAAGTGCCCTGCCGGCGAATACCAGGACTCGAGCGGCGCCACCAGCTGCCGCGATTGCGAGCCGGGCAATTACTGCGCCAAGGGCGCCTCTGCGCCGCTGCCATGTCCCGCCGGGACGCGCACCGACTCCTCGCTCGACTTCATGACCAGCAAGGACGATTGCATCACCTGTCCGGTCGGCACGTTTTGTCCGACCGGCTCTGATGAAGCCACCGACTGCGCACCGGGCACCTTCAACGCTCTCGCCGGGCAGAGACTCTGCACGAAATGCCCCGCCGGCAAATACCAGAGCGGCACGGGCGCGACGAGCTGCCGCGACTGCGAGAAGGGCAGCTACTGCGCCAAGGGCGCGGCAGCGCCGCTGCCGTGTAAGAAGGGCACCTTCTCCACCGCCACGGACCTCACCGCCGCGAGCGAGTGCACCGCCGCCTCGCCAGGCTACTTCGCCACCACCGTCTCCACCGAGCAGACGCCGTGCGCTCCAGGTAGCATCGCTCCCTCGGCCAACATGTCTGCGTGCGCGCTGTGCACGAAAGGCAACTTCGCAGCCTCCACCACCGCTTGCGAGGAGTGCGAGGCGGGCACCTATGCGGCGAGCGAGGGCCTCTCGCTGTGCACTCTCTGCCCCCACCCCCTCAGCTCCAAGAGCGGCGACGTCACCTGCTCCATCTGCAAGGAGGGCTTCTACCTGCAGAACGCGGGCGCCGACCCGGCCGAGATCTTTTCCTCCCCGACCGAGTACTGCAAGGCTTGCCTGCCGAACGCCGGCTGCCCGCGCAACACCGCTCTCGAGGACATCATCGTCCTGCCCGGCTACTGGAGCGCCAGCACCTCAAAATCCGTGCTGACAAAGTGCGGTGCCATCGGGGGCGATAAAGATGCCGGATCGAAGCGGTGTGTTGGCGGCACTTCTTCTGGAACGAACGGCGATGGGTACTGCAACTCGCTATTCAAAGGCCCCGAGTGCCAGCTGTGCGCGAATGAAAACCAGTCCACCGACACCGACACCGATGACGACGCATCGCAGCAGTCGAGCGCGTGCTGCGCCGCCTCGGCCGGCGCTCTGGTCGGTCAGCCTGGCGTACGTGCCCGTGCCCGCCTCGCACTGCGCGTCCGACTCGCGCGACGAGCCTTCGGGACAAAACTTGCCAGCAGCGCAGCGGACGCAGGCGGCCTGGCCGGTCTCGCTCTGGAAGTAGCCCTCGGCGCACAGCTCGCACGCGTCGTCAGCTGTGCGGGCGGGACGTACCAGGGCGAGTCGAACGCGACGGGCTGCCTTCCGTGCGTGGAGGGCAGCTACTGCGCCGAGGGCGCGTCGGCGCCGCTGCCGTGCGTTGCGGGTAGCTACTCGACCGCCACCAACCTCTCACCGACGCGAGCGAGTGCACCGACGCCTCGCCGGGCCACTTCACCACCACGGGCTCCACTGAGCAGACGGCGTGCGCCAAGGGGTCGTACACGAACGAGACCAAGCAGAGCGAGTGCACGCCCTGCGCCGCCGGCACGTACCAGGACGTGGAGGCGCAGACGGCGTGCAAGCCGTGCGAGGCGGGCGGCTACTGCGCTGTTGGCGCGGCGGCGGCGCTGCCGTGCGAGGCTGGCAGCTACTCGAGCGCCACCAACCTCACCGACGCGAGCGAGTGCACCGACGCTTCACCGGGCTACTTCGCCACCACGGGCTCCACCGAGCAGACGGCGTGTCGCGAGGCCCGCGCGCGCAAAACAGTCACCCACGTGACACTATGTTTTGTTCTTCTCTCTGCCCGCGCGCACAAAACATAGTGTCATTCCACAAACCCCTCAAACTCCGTGACTCCGACGAAGGGGCGCATTGCCTCCCGTTCAATGACCTCGCATTTTGCGCCAGCGCCGTGGGCGAGAGCGAGATGGCGCATGACGGACTCCTTGCGGCGCTTCTCCACCGGGCGGTACGGTTTTGCCTTCACCGATGTTGGTCCACCCAGGCACACATAGTTGTTCTCACTGCGAGCGAAAGGGCACGCCCACAGCTTTCCACATGAGAGAAGCTTGTGGTTCGGCTTGCGGCGACGTCGTCTTCGAGCCGCCGTACGAGCCATCCTTGACCTTTTGCTCGATTTCCTCAAGCTTCTCAGCGTAGCGGTGCTCCCCCATCGTCGCCGGCACCTTCACCACGAGGGGGGGTTGTTGTCGACGGTGGGGACGATCACGCGCGAGCGCAAGCCCTTGTACGCGATTTTGCGCGCGATGTGGCGCAGCGTGAGAAAAGAAAAAAGCAGGGGGAGAAGAAAAAAAACCGAACGTATCGTGGAGCAGCAGGTTGAGAGTAGTTCAGGTTGAGGTGTTTATTATTGTAGCGCCTAGATAAAAAGAAAAATCGCCAAAGGAGCACCCTTGCGGGACTCGAGTGCAAGCTTTGTGTCTGCTCTCGGTTGACTCTTGCTCTCGGTCGTGTGCGTGTTGGGCGGCGATCGGCCTGGCCAGCTCGAACCCGAGCAGAAGCGGGTGTGTCCGAGGCAGCGATCTGCGAGGCGAGGGCCGAGTCCGGGACATGTCCGTCACATGTCTGGGACACGTCCAATTAGGCGGCACTGCGCGAAACGAGGGCCGACGCTGCCGGCGCGGACACGCTGAGTGAGCCTCGTCGACGCCGTCACCACACACTCGTCTCACGAAAAAAAACAGCCTCGTCGGAACCTTTTCGCAGGCTCAAAAGGTGTGCCGATGTGCTAATGTGCGCCAATTCACGCTTTTGTCGTGCCAATGTGCTGTGAGTGCTATCAAGATCTTTCGTGTTTCGAACATAAGTCCAAGCTCTGATCGCCGTTGCGGTTTGTCTTCCGCCTCGAAGTGACCCGCCTGAGTGTCGCTCCGCCTCCTTCCTGCCGCCGCCCCAGCAAGCGGTGCGCGCCCCCCCCCGCACTGCCTGCGCTGCGCCGCAAACCCCTCGCGTGCGCGACACTGTGCCCCCCATCTCGAGACGCCGGGTGTGGTTGGCGGCGCCGGTGGCGGCGCCAGTGGCGGAGGCGCAACCCGCTTTGTTTCTCCACGACCCTGGGTTGTGGGACAAGGGTGGCAGGCCGCGCGCGAACTCCAACGCTCCGTACTCTGTCACCCGGCTCTCGCACTTTCCGGGAGCCACTGGGTGGCAGCGGCGGAAGCGGCGGCGGCGGCGGCGGCGGCAGCACACCCGCTCCTCATACACACCCTTCACGCACACCATTTCGTGGGAGAGGGTGGGCACGGCCCGCGCGTACACTCTCCTCGGCCCGCACACCTTGCTTTGGCGCATGATGCCCCTCTGTGTTTTGCGGCGGCGGTGGCGCTGCCAGCTGCTGTGGCGCTCACACAGGGCTGGTGCACTAACGTTAACACACCTCAGGGGCAGCACTGACTACAGATCGTGTCAACACTTGGCGCAAAGGTCGGTGTTAACACAGTTGAACGGCAGTCCCAAAACAAGCGTTAACACAGCCGTTAACACGGTGTTGACACGCCCTCCAGGTAAAACCCGGGTATACCTGCAAAAAACCGGGTATACCCGAGAAATACCTGGGTCCGCGTCAATGCCGCGCGCGCCCTATTCCCAGGGCCCCTGCGCCAACTGCGGCTCGCACCGCCTGCTCAAGTACGCGCACCGCACCATGTGCGCTCGCTACCGGTGCCAAAAGGCAGCATCGGCGCTGCGCCAGGCGCGGCTGGCAGGTGGCGGTGCGGACGATGCGGTCGTGCCGACATTCTGCTTCAAGATTGAGGCAGTGCTCGGCATGCGCTTCTGCGAGCCCGAGCAGCTCATTGCAAAGAAGCGGCGCAACAGGCTGGCTGCTGCCGACAAGGCCGTGTGCTACCTCACGCGAGGCACCTTCAAAGAGGACAGCAATGACGCTGGATTCACCGACACGCGCTGGGTGGAGCTCGAGGAGCTGTACGAGAACTGTGGCAAGACGCCGCTGAAGAATGCGCTCAAGAAGTACCGAAAGGCTGAAGAGGAGGATGTGGATGCGGCGATTGCCGACTTTGAGGAGGGCGTCGAGCACGAGGGATAATAATAAATAGGCGCATTTGGGATGGCTGGGGACGCCCATGGGACATGTTCGCAATCGCAGCTGCGTGTGTGAAGTGAATATGACCAGATGCGCGGCTTCTTTACAAACTAAAACAAACAGCAGCCCCTCCCCTCCCCTCCCAGACAGGCGGGCCCAAGGTAGATGAGTCACGCACGCAACGAGACGAGCGCGCCGTACCAACACCCCGACACACGCAACTCTCTAGAGGCAGTCCTCCGCCTTGTGCTCATACTTGATGGGTGCGGCGGCCGGGTGGGCCTGGCGACCGCGCTTGCTGTCCTTGACGAGCTCATGAAACTCCTTGAGGATCTCCTGCACCGGCACCTCCCACGCCTTCATGTTGCGCCCGTGGTAGTGCCAAAACATGAGGTTGGCCAGGTTGCGCTGGCCGAGGCTAGAGCGCTCGGACGTCTTGATGTCGTTCATAAGGGAGAAGATGCGCTCCGCCTCCGACGTGTCGAGCGGGATCAGTAGCATGATGGCGACGAGGCGGAGCACAGACATGTACTCGCCCGAAAAGGTGACGAGCATGTGCGACCAGAGGGACTTGAACGGCCGCTGCTTGAGGCCGGGGCTCTTCGAGATCTCCTCCTTCAGGTCGATCCACGTATCGAGCAGGCTTTCGAGCGTCGTGTCCGGGAAGAAGTCCTTGTAGTGCTTGTACAGCTCATTGATCTCCGCCTTGCCGAACGCCTCCAGCGCCTCGTGCTCCGTCGGCCAGTGCCGGTGGTCAAAGACAGCGAAGTGCTGCAGGATCGGGTTGTCGAGCACCTTCGAGTAGCGCGACTCGATGTGCGTGACGAGGTGCTCGAGGATGTTCTTCTTGTCCGCCGCGAACGCCTCCTCGTCGCCATCCTCCACCTGGAGCCGGCACGTGCTCAGCGTGTTGGCGCCCTCGTCCTTGTCGCACTCGGCCTTGAACCAGGCCTCCTTCTCGCCGGCCGTCGTCTGCAGCTTATTGAGCAGGCGCACGGTCTTGCGCACGTCCTTGACGAGGTCGGAGATGATGAGCGAGTTGCCCTGGCACGCCTTGGAGAGGATGGCAAGCTGCGAGTACACGTCCAGCATGAAGCACGAGAAGCCGACGAAGCGCTTCGAGGTGAGCTTGGAGCGGAGCTGCCAGCGCTCGTCGGCGGCGAGCTTGACGGTCTCCACCGTGAGAATGTCGACGAGCTCGCTCTTCGGCATCTCGAGGCTCGAGCCGTCGGCGTACTTGACCACGAAGCGGTCGTTGGCGGGGTTGGGCGGCCGAGGCTCAACGATCTTGTCGACGACCGCCTTGAAGCGGCGCGTGCGGCGCCCGCCCTCCGCCGCATCGAAGGTTTGCCAAAAATTCTTGCGCAGGAAGACCTCGGACGGCGAGAGAAGCCCGAGCTCGACGCCCGCCTCCGACTTGGCGGTGCTCTCGAGGTCGGCTGCAATGGCCGGCAAGCTCTCCAGCAGCGCCTTGATGGCCTGCTCCAGCGAGGCGGCCCAGCGGATGCCGTGGATGCCCTTGAGCGTCAGCAGCTCCGTGTCGAGCTCGGCCGCTATCTGCTCGAGGGTGAAGCGCTTCTTGCCGCTCTTGTGGTAGTAGACGTACACCTCCTGCAGCACGTCGCGCCACTCGGCGTAGTACTCGACCAGCTGGAAGGCCTCGCCGAGTGCGAGCTGGTGCACGTGGGCGACTGCGTGCACCGAGAGGTGGTGCGGCGCGTCCACCTTCATGTACGCCGCCACGCCGCCCTTCTCGCCCGACATGACGGACGCGCCGTCCCAGCTGCTCGCGACGATAGAGCGCGCCCAGGAGCCGTAGCGGAGGAAGCCTTCGTGCACCTCAAGCTCCCCGTACCCCTTCTTGTACGCCGCATGGATGCAGGCGGCGTCGGGTGAGCGGCCGTCGACGCTCTGCGTGAGGTCGAGGGGGAGCAGGTCGTGCAGCGTGTTGTACGGCAAGCCGTCCGGGCCGAGGAAGCGGAGCACCGACGCCTCCTGCTCGTGATTCGACCGGTCGTTGGAGCCGTCGCCGAGCGAGCCGAAGGCGACGCCGTCCGGGAAGATGGCAGCGGAGACCGAGTTGCGCGCCCGCTCGCGCATCCGCCGCTCAAAGACCTTGCGGCCGCACAGCAGCCAGTCATCGAGCCCGCCGCCCTCACCACCCCGGTGGGCGTGGGAGTACGAGAGCACGACGCCGTTGGCGAGCTGCAGCTCGAGCAGCGCCTTCATCTTGGTGAGGCCCAGCTGCTGCACCGCAATCGCATGCACGGTCCGGATCGTGACATAGTACCGCTCGTCCTCGGTGCTCACCGTGCCGTACAGCTTGATGTCGCCGGTGACGGACGCCTGGCTCGCGCCGCCCTCCGCCGCGCTCGCGAGCTGCACCACGTGCTTGTGCTCCTTCGACTCGCCGTGCTCCTTGAGCTTCTGCGTCGAGGTGATCGGCAACGGCCCGCCGTCCTTGCACCCGTACCCCTTGGTCGAGAGCTTGTCGTTGCGCCGGAACTGGTTGGCGACCTTGATGCAGAAGCGGCAGTGGAAGCCGTACAGACTGTCCTCGGCGAGCCATGGGTACGCGTCGCTGCCGACGAGCGCGCGCTGCTTCTCGATGCCCTGGCGCTCCTCGTACTTCGCCTAAAAATAAAATAAAATAGTGTCGTTGCGCGCAAGGCGGCCGGGCGCACATTCTCTTTTATGTTTACCCGTGCGTAGTCCTTCCTCGCCGCCGCGTCCATCTTGCGGAAGGAGACCTTGTTCTTGGCGCCACCGGAGCCGCCGGGGGCGGCAGCCTCGCCTATCATTGGATATGATGAGGTTGCACCCGAGGGGGTGGGGTAGCCACATGGGGGCGAAGACAGAGAGCGCCGTCCGCGTCCTCTTCGTCCGAGTCGGAGGAGCCGTCGTAGCCCCCAATCCGCCACCCGCCTCCATCCGCGAGACCGACCTGCTCTTTGCCGCCCTCGCCCTCGAGCGGCGTACGTGCCAGGTGCCGCTGCTGCGGCTCCACCACCAGCGTGCCCTGGCCCTTCGGCTTGCGGCGTTGCTGCTTTGGCGGCGGCCCGGGCGTAGCACCGGCAGCACCAGCAGCACCAGCAGCACCAGCAGCTGGCCGCTTGCCGAAGAACTTGTCGAGCATGGTGGGTCCCTTCTCGCCCGTCTTCTCGCGCCGTGGGCGCGTTGCCGCCGCGGTGTTTGGCGGCGCCGCCTTCTTTCCCTTGCGCTGCTTTGCACCGACAGCCGCGCCGCCGCCCTCGCCGCCGCCCTCGCCGCCGCCGCCCTCGCCGCCGCCGCCCTCGCCGCCACTCTCGCCGCCGCCCTCGCCACCGCCCTCCTCGCCGCCAGCCTCCTTGCCGCCGCCCTGGCCCGGGGGCTCCTCAGGCGAGTCGACCCGCTGGCGGAGCGGCAGGGCGCCCTCGCTGCGCACGCCGCTGGCGTTGTACGCCTCGAGGCAGGGCTTGCCGCAGAAGTACTCGCCTTCTTCTGGCATCCACACCATATCGCACGCCACCCACGAGTGCACCGGCAGTTTGCATTGCTTGCAGCAGTGTGCCGCTGCATTCTGGTGCTCGAAGACCAGCTTGCATGCAGCACAAGCAACCGGCCCATCGTTGCCGTTCATCGCGCTGCGGCCAGTCTCAGCCAGGTCTTAGCACCGCCCAGCGATGGGCGTGTGGCCGCGTGACAACTCTGGACTCTGGAGCGCTCCTTCAAAGAATTCGCGCCTCCGGCCTCTACGGAGCGTGTCAACACCTCCCGCGGGGCGGTGTTAACACGTTTGAACACCTCTACGGCTGTGGTGTTAGCCGTTAACGTGTGAACACCGTGTTAACGTTAGTGCACCAGCCCTGCGCTCACACCTCTCTTTCCCCTGCGCCCGCAGGCGAGGGATGCGGCAACGGAGGCGAGGGTGAGGCGGAGGGAGGCGGCGGCGAGGGCGAGGCGGAGGGAGGCGGCGGCGAGGGCGAGGCGGAGGGCGGCGGAGGGCAGCGGAGGCGAGGGCGAGGCGCGGAGGGAGGCGGCGGCGAGGGCGACGCGGACAGCGGCAGAGGCGACAAGGAGGCGGAGGCGAGAAGGAGGCGGAGGGCGGCAGAGGCGAGGGTGGGGGAGGTGCGGGCGGGATGGGAGATGGCGGCGGCGGCGAAGAGGTGGCGACGGAGGTGGGGTGAGGGCGGTGGTGGTGACGGTGGCGGCGAAGGCGGGGAAGCGGCGACGGGGGCGGCGGCGAGGGCGGAGGCGAAGGCGGCGGTGAAGGTGGCGGAGGCGAGGGCGGAGGCGGTGACGGCGGAGGGGACGGTGTGAATGGCTGGCGCGGCTGGCTGCGGCTCTCCGACGGCCGGCCTCGCCTCTGAGCAGCCACGAGGGCGGGACATCGATTCCGTCAAAAGGCGGGGGAAGAATATCCCGAGAGCTCCACCGGGATGAAGTATCCCGAGATCGCCACCGGGATGATTTCATGTCCGAGCGGTGTCGGGGTGGCTCACGAGTCACTCACACAGTCGGACGCGAGGACCGCCGGCTCGGAATAATTTTCCGGTGCCCCGGTCGGCTTGCAGGCGTGAGAGACGGAGGACGAGGCTCTCACCGCAGTGTTTTCCGTGCCGTGAACAGAGCACCCCGAAAATCGGACCGGAAAATACTCCGGATGCGCGGGCCCAACGCAGGCATGTGTGAGTCGTGTCGGGCGGCCTCCGAGCGCTCGCGCGCCTCCGTCTAACGGTGCGCTGCTCGTCTGACAGCGAGGTCGCGTTTTCACACCCAAAGGAAAGACACTAGTGAGGCGGGGGGGTCGCCCCGGTGCCCCCCGCGCGCTGGCCGTGCCAACGGGTCCGCTGGGGTCCGCTGGGCCGCCTCAGACCGCCGAAACTGTTTTTCCCTGCATCCTGGAACGGCTGACCGAGAATTGGCTGAGCTGCGCCACACGGCCCCACAGACACAGAGACGCACGATCCCCGCAGCTCATGGTGGCGTCTGCACGGCTTGAGAGTACGCAGTCTCCCGGCTGGTAGGTTCCGCTTCCACCGTGAGCGACGCCAAACTCGAAGCCCACGCATGCTGGTTCCCCTGTCCATTCGACGCAGCGATCCTCGCATTGGGCCGTGGTCAGCGACAAGTTTAGGTATTTCTTCAGGTTGTAGCCCTTTACGCATCCTGGAGAGAGGACACTCCAACTCGACGATGGCGACAGCGACGGCGGCGAGGGCGGCGACGGCGACGCGGCCGCGTTGCCGATGACCAACGCAACGGAAGCCACGCGGACGATGCCGGGGGTCCGTGTGAGCGAGACCGCCATCCCGAGCAGCACAGTAACTCCCACGCTGAGGCCCGTCTCGACCAGCTGCCCAGCAGCGTAGTCGGCACCGATCGTGGCGGCGCCGGTGGCTTCGCTAGCGGAGGGGAGCTCGGCGCCCGGCGCGGCGCCGCAAGTAACGGCTGTGTGTGAGGCAGCGGCGCCGAGCCACAGGCGAGGAACGGCGCCCCTGCTTAGTTAGGTTAGGTGGGAAGGTGAACAACAGGCCCGGCTTTTCCTTGCTCCGGAAGAAGAAAAGAATTTTCCAACTAAGCTCCCTCGCACGCCACTGGGCACGGGACTGGCGCGCACTGGCCTTAACACAGGTACACGACGGGAGCCGTATAAACGCGTCCTGGGATGGGGACGCGTCCTGGACAGGCCCGCCCCCCACGTCTCAGTCCAAGCAGCTGCACGACAGCCCTCTTCGCTCTCGCTCCGATGCCCACCCTCTCGAACGCGCTGACGCGCTCCCCGGCTTACGGCCCGCACGTGCCTGCGGGCCCCGCCCGCTTCGCGGCGAGCCCCGCCAGTCCGTGCGAAAAGCGAGGCGGCGTGGGGGGAGCCCGCTCACGCAAGCCCTGAGGCGCGAGCCCGCGCCGCGGCACCCGCAGCCGCGCCGCCGAGCCCCGAGGCAGCCGCCCGCCCGCTCGAGCTCCTGCTCACCGCGACGGGCGGGGGCCGCGACCTCGCCGACTTCTCCAACCGCGTCTGGCGCCACCTGCACCAGCGCCGCAACCTGCCGCCCGACAACCCGCAGCTCCGGAGCTACCAGAGGAACCTGCCCACCCTGGTCGCGGAGCGGGCGCGGCACGTCCTCGCGCTCGTCGCCGCCGCGCAGGCCGAGGGCACTGACGACGGCGCCCCCCACCTCGCCAGCGACGCGTGGCTCGCCGCCCGCCGCTGCTTTGCCTTTCTCGCGCCCGGGGCGGGCAAAAGCCTCTCCATCGCCCTCGCGATCGTCCTCTTCCCGCACGCGGCGGCGCCGCCGCCGGGGTGCGGTGTGCCCCCGACGGCGGCGCGGCACCTTATCGTCTTCCCCTTCTGCACCAACATCAACGAGCTCCTCGACGAGGGCCTCCGCCTCGAGGAGAGGCCCTGCCGCGAGTGCCGCGCCGCAGCGCAGCAGGCCGACCCCGCCTGCTGCGACGCGTGCCGCAACGAGCTGCACCGCGCCGCGGAGGCGTCGTCGCTCTGCTCGCGGCTCGGCCTCCGCCGCAGCCACGTGATCGAGCTCGCGCGCCACGTCTACGTCCTCCCTGACCGCTTCAACCCGCGCGAGAACCTGCGCCACCAGCGCGACTTTGAGCAGGCGTGGATCGTGCTCGCGACGCAAGACAAAGTGGCGCGCGCGTGCGAGGCGGGGCACATCGGGCCGGCCGACGTCCGCGCGCTCTGGGCCGACGAGGGCGACTACGGCAACAACCCCGACGAGCGGCGCGGCAGCTTCAGCTGGGACATCATCCAGCGCACGCTCTGGACCTCGTGGGTCAACCTCTTCTCGGGCACCTGCGCCGAGTGGATGCGCGACCTGCCCGAGCTGGCGCGGAGCACCGTCCTCCCGCCCCCCTCTCCTCTCCCCCCCCCCTCTCACCGCCCCCCCTCCCCCGCCGCAGGTCCGCTTCACGTACGGCGACCTGTACCGCTCCTACGACGCCTGCCAGCTCACCGTCACGACGCTCTGCGCGCACGGGCTCGTGGTGGGCGGGCGCCGCATCGGGGACGAGCCGCTCACGGAGGAGGACGTGGACGTGATCCGCACCGACCGGCGCGCGCAGCAGCAGCACCTCCAGGCACGCCCCGCTACCCCCTCCTTTCCTGGCCCTCTCCCTTCCCTCCCTTCCCCTTTTCGCCCCCTCCTTCCCGCCCTTTTTCGCCCCCCCCCCTCCCGACCCCCCCCCCCTTCCGGCTCCCCGCTGGCAGGTCTTCTGCCGCAAACTCCTCAACCAGCACGACGAGTGGCGCATCCCCACGCAGGGCGTCCTCTTCAACGCCAGCAACTCGGGCGGCGAGGAGGTCTGGCGCCAGCTCTGCGGCATCGCGGCGCGGCTGCCTCCGTCGCCAGTCACCGGCCGGCCGCTGCGCGTCGCGATCGCGTACACGCGCCTCTCACGCGCCGAGGACACGGCGCCCTTCCGCAACACGGAGCGCGTCATCGCCGCCTCCAAAGCGCTCGAGTACGACATCATCGTGCTGTGCGCTGCCCCTCCCCACCCCCGCCCCCACTGGCGCCGCCATCGCCACTCGCTCACCCCCCCCTCTCCTCTTCCGCAGGTCCAACATCGGCTGCCGCGGCCTCAACAACTCGATGATCATGGTGGGGCTCAACATGTACCCGCACAACACCAGCGTCGCCTCGCGCAACGAGCAGTGGCAGCGCGTCAACCGGCTCATCCGGCCGATCCGGCTCGACCCGCGGCTCGTCGAGCTGGTCGAGCGACTCTACGGCCGAGAGGTGGCCGCCGCGCTGCGCCAGTGCGCCCGCCCCGCGCCCGCGCCCCCCGCCCTCGCGCCCGCGCCGCGCTGACCGCTCCTCCTCCCTCTTTCAAAGGTTCGTGCTGCACCACCGGCTGCACCGCCTCCACCAGCGCGCCGACCTGCTCGAGATCGACGCCAACTTCGCGGCCAACAACGCCAACCTGCGGCAGTGCATCGCCGAGCAGGGCGCCGAGGCGGCAGTCACGCTCTCCAGCGAGCGGCTGGTCGACCTGCTGCCCGCCGACGGCGAGGGCGAGGAGGGCGAGGGCTCGCTCGACGGCAGCAGCGTCCTTAGCGAGGAGAGCGGCGGGGAGGAGAGCGAGGAGAGCGGCGAGGAGAGCGAGGAGGAGGGGGAGGAGGCGGCGGCGCTGCGGCGGGAGGAGGAGGAGCGGCGGCGGCGGCAGGAGGAGGAGCAGCAGCTTGCGGCGGTGGCGCGCGAGCGGGAGCGGCGGGAGCGCGCGGCGCGCGCGAGAGAGGCGCGCCAGCAGGCGCAGATCCGGCGCGACGGGCAGATGTGGTCCCGCTTCCGGGCGTGGCCGCGGCGGTCGCGGAAAACGGTGACGCTTGACACGCTGGTCGGCTCGATCCTCAACGCGATGGACATCTCCATCCACGAGCGGCGGCGGGTCGCGACCCTCTTCCAGCGCGCCCTCGCCGCGGGCCCCGCCGTGCTGAGCGAGGCCGGCCTCGGCGGGGGCGGCCCCCTCCTCGCCCCCGGCCGGTCCCTCCTCCGCCTCCACGAGCGGGTTGCCGAGGTGCGCAGCGAGCCCGCCCCGATCTGTGCCGTCTGCCGCGAGCCGCCGCAGCCCGGCTCGGCCTGCATCCTGTGCTGCTGCTACGGCGTCATGTGCGTTGCGTGCCTTGACCGCTGCCCGACCTGCCCGCTCTGCCGCTGCCGCCGTTGCTCCGCCGCCCTCGTCCCGCCAGTCGACGTCCCCTCGCCCCTCCTCGCCAGCCTGCTGGAGCGGCCGCTGCAGCGGCTTCACGCAAGAGGCTTCACGAAAGAGGTTCTCCTCTCGCAGTCGCCGCGCCTCTTCCAGGAGCTGCAGTTCATGGTCCGGCGCTGGGAGCAAGCGCTGCCGCCACCTCCACTAGACCTCGTCCCGCCCCTCGACACGCCGCCGCCTGCACCGCCACTAGACCCAGTTCTGGCGCCGCTTCCGGCACCGCCGCCGGTCGACGCCCCCTCGCCTCTCCTCGCCGGCTTGCTGGAGCGGCTGCGCCACGCCGCGACCGTCAGCCGCACTTACTCGTGCGTGTTTGTGCCGTTTGCGCACGCGCTGCTGCAGGACGGCGAGATGGCGGCAGAGGCGGCGGCGTGGGCGCGCACGACCCTGCGTGGGCGGCTCTGCTCGGGCGGTACCGCGAGTTCTTCGAGGCGTCGCCGCGCCTCGCGCCGCTGCTCCAGCCTTACGCCGTCCGCGACACCAATTTGGCGGCGCTGCCCTGCTGGCCGTACATCGAGCCGGCGCCCGAGCAGGAGGACCCGGCGCTGCGCGGGCGGCAGGACGAGCCGTGGCCGCTGCAGAGCCCGGGGCGGGGCTTCACGCAGGAGGGCCTCCTCTCGCAGTCGCCGCGCCTCTTCCAGGAGCTGCAGTTCATGGTCCGGCGCTGGGAGCAAGCGTTGCCGCCGCCGCCGCCGCCCGACCCAACGCCAGTCACGCCGCCTCCGCCGCCGGCGCCAGACTCACCTCCTCCGGCGCCGCGGCGGCCGCCGCTGCCGGCGTCGGCGCTGCGCGGCGCGTCGCTCGACGCCTTCGTGCAGGTGGTGGGCGAGGGCCTAGGCGGGCGGCTCTGGGCCCCCGTCGACCACAGCCTCACTGTGTCTGGCCGGCTGCCGCCTCCGGGCAGGAGCATGCAGCACCTGCTGCGGGAGGCGGAGGCTGGCCCGCGGCTGCGCGCGGCGTACGAGCTCGCCGTGGCGGCGCTGGAGCGGCTCGGCCACTCGATTGACCACTCGCTGCCGGCGGTGGTCGACGAGATCGCAAGCAGCGTGCTCAGCGACGTGATGTACGACCACGCGCATCTGCGCCGCCGCCCCGAGCTGCGCGAGCACATGCTCAGGGGCACGGAGCGGGAGGTGCGGGCGCGGCTGGCGGGGCTGATCAACGCGATGCACAGCGGCGGCCTGCCGACCACGCACCGCCGCATCCGCTTCGACGCGGCGGCGCACGGCGGCGGCGGCGGCGGGCGGGCGGCGGTGGTGCTGCGGCTGCTTGTCTGAGGGGGGCCGCTTTGATGATGCGCGTTCGGGGGGGTGGGAAGGGATCCCGACAAGGCGCGTTTGAGATCGAGCTTAGAGCTCGGTGGGAGAGAGGGGAACGTGCTCTGGCACGCTCTCGCGTCGGCGTTCGCGGCTGCAAGCTCGCCTTCTTGCCGGCGAGCCGTGTCGCGGTGACCTAGGCGGTGACGGTCGCAGAGAACGCAAGCGCGCGGAGTTCTATGTATAGAGCCGTAGGTACTGTTGACGTAGTGTGCGATGTGGGGAGCTCGAAATCGTCCTGTCGCGCTCGCTCAAGTGCTCATGAGTGTGGCCAGTGAGGAGGCGTGAGAGACTAAGAACCTAATGATTGAATACAGCAAGGAAGCCCCACGGCCTTCTACGCCAGATGCCGTGGCACTTTTTGAACTTCAACAGATACCAGAGTGCAGAGAGCCGCAAGCGCATCGCTCATTCCGTTTCTCCGTTTGCGTTTCTACTTCTTCAACCCCCCCCCCACACACACACACAACACACACCTCAACTCGTCACTGTCAGCATCCTCCGGCTCGTCTCAGCTTCCGCCGCCTCTCCTGCTGCCTCCGGCTCCGCCGCTCCCGGCAGCAAGATCGCCGCTGCCACTGCCGCCGCCACCGCCCGCGTCACGCGCGGCCGGAGGCTGCGGTGGCGGGTCCCAGACGTGCGAGGGCGAGGCGAGCACGAGGGCGGTGGCGGAGAGCGAGACGGCGGTCGCAAAGAGGAAGGGGAGGGCGGGCACTCCCACCGAGCAGCCGAGGCCGAAGAGGTAGCCGTATAGCGTCGGGCCGACCACCTGGCCGGCGGGCGGGGCGCGGGGCGTGGGGCACGCCACCCCTGAGGGTCACCGCCGAGGCGGGCACGGAAAGGGAAGGTGACGCGGCGGCGGCGGCGGGGAGGGGGGGGGGAGGGGGGAGGGGGGGAGGGGGATAGGGGGGATCGTGGTGCCGCCGCCGCTGGTGCGGTGGTGTGTCGGTACCTTGAGCAGCGAACGCAAGTTCTGGTGGTCGCCCGCGAGCGAGCCCTGCCCGAACCCGGCCGCGGCACCCGCCGTGGTCAGCCGTGCAGTCACCGCCATCCCCTGCGTCCGCCCGACCTACGAGCAAGTCAACCCTCCGTGTTCTAGACTGTGATGTGTCAGACCCCTCGGCCCGGCCGACCTACAGCAAGCGCGCAGCCGGCGGTGCAGCGGGGAGAGTGGCCACCCGCCGAGCCGCTCGGAGCTCGCGAGGACCCAGTTGACGGGCAGGGCCGCGAAGGCGACGCGAGTCGAGCCGAGAGCGAGCGCCTAGCTCACCAGCGGCGCGCGGCGTGAGGAGACGCCGGCCCGGCTCCCGCTCGCTCCTCCGGCGGCGGTGAAGAGAGCGCCAAGTCGGTAGCGGCGCAGGAGGCGGTGGCGAGCAGCGTGTGTCCTCGCGCGCCTAGCCCCGCCACCCCCGCACGCCTTAGGCCTTCGGACCGCGCGCCGGGAGGCCGGCTGCGGCGTCGCTTCGCCGAATCTGCGCACGGAGCGGCGGGCGAGAAGTGCGACGGCGGTGTGGCCGAAGCCGGAGAGGGAACCGAAGAGGCCGCACCTGCGCCGGTCGACCTCGGGTGATCTCGGGTGATCTAGGGTGGACTAGGGCGGTGCGCACGGCAGGGGAGGAGAGGCTGGGAGGAGAGGCTGGGAGGAGAGGCGGGGAGGAGAGGCTGGGAGGAGAGGCTGGGAGGGGGGAGGGGAGGAGGGGAGGGGAGGAGGGGGGGAGAGGAGGGGAGGGGAGGAGGGGGGGAGAGGAGGGGAGGAGGGGAGGGGAGCCGACGAGGCGATGCGCACGTCTCAACGCCCCAGCCTCGCAGCTCGCGGGCAAAGACCTATCAATTTCATTCGTCAATGAATTCAATCCAGCCCCGCAGCGCGCGGGCAAAGACCTGCGACGTGTCCGAGGACTTGATGAATGAATGAATGGACCGATGGCGGGCAGATGTCTGCGACGTGTCTCGGGACGCGTGCGTTGAGCTGCAGAGCGAGGGGTGGACTAGAGGCTCGATGTATATTACCTGCCACGTGTCTCCCATCGCCATCGAGGTGGTGTGCAGGGCGGAGACGGAGGCGAGGCTGCGCAGCGCCACGCCGTTGCGGAAGAGGCGCACGAAGCCGAAGCCTGGAGAGGCGGACTGGTGTGTCTCGGGCGATCTCGGGCGATCTCGGGCGATCTCGGGCGATATCGGGCGATCTCGGGCGATCTCTCGGTCGAATCTCAGGGCGACACAAACCCACAAACAACCCACAACCCACCCGCAAACCACCCGCAAACCACCCGCAAACGGCCAGCGGGGCGGGCGGGGCGGGCGCCTGGAGGGCGGAGCGCCAGCGGCGATCGCGCGCCGGCCGGGTGGGTCTCGTTCGCGGAGCCAGCGACGAGCGGGACGAGGAGGGCGAGGAGGGAGGCAGAGGCGAGGCAGGGGAGGCGGAGGGAGCGGGAGAGCAGCCGTCCGCCGAGCAGCATCCCCACCGAGTAGGCGGCGCCGGCCTACTTGAGATCTGGTGAGATCTGGTGAGATCTGGGGAGATCATCCCCACCGAGTAGGCGGCGCCGGCCTACTTGTGCACCGGCGGAGGCCGTGCCGAGGGCGCCCCTCACGGCCCTCGGCCTCGAGATCTGGGGAGATCTGGGGGAGGTCTGGGGGAGAACTGGGGGAGATCTGGGGAGATCTGGGGAGATCTTCCGCATCTGGGGGCGGGGCTCGCCGAGGCGGAGACGAGGCCGAGCTTGCCGGTGAGTGCGGCGGGGTCGTCGCGGTGTGTGTCTGCGATTGAGGCGCGCAGCGCGACGGAGAAGGTCGAGGTGAGGAGGAGGGAGAGGAGCTTGACGATCACCTGGGGAGATATGGGGGAGATCTAGGTCGAGGTGAGGAGGAGGGAGAGGAGCTTGACGATCCCCTGCTCACGGGACGCCGCCCCTGCGAGCCGCCGCCTCGAGAGGAGGGTGAGAGAGCCTTCCCCGCCCGGGCTGCTGCCCCGCGCCAGCCGCCCATCTCTCCCCCATCTCTCCCCCATCTCTCCCGAGGCCAGCCGCGCACCAGCACGCGAATCGTCGGGCGCGAGACGGCCACACCTCGGCAGAGGAGGGCGAGGGCGGGCGCGCCAACGAGGAGCGGCTTGCGGCCGATCGTGTCCGACAGCCGGCCGAGCTGCGGCGTCACCTAATACCGACGCCGAGCCGCTGCCGAGGCGCGCCTGAGGCGTCGGCTCCGCACGTCTGCGGCCGCTTGTGACCAGGATGTCGAGCAGCGCGGCGCTCGAGGAGATGCGGCCAAGGGCGGCGGCGGTGGCGACGCGATCCTGCCCAAGGTGCGCGTACAGCGCGCTCGGCACCGCCTGCGGAAACGTCAGAAAGAAGCGTCATGGACGCGTCCCGTGTTCACGCCTGAGCAGCCTCCGCCTGCCTGCGTGAGCAGAGCGTTGGACAGCATCTGTACGAAGACGACGAGCGCGATGAGCCAGCCGTCGCCGTCCGCCAGCCGTGCTAACAGGCCATCGCGCCTCGCAGAGGGCGGCGGAGGCGGCGGCAACGCAGCCGTCACCGCCGGCACCCGACGGCGCACCTCTCCAGCGCACCCGCTGGTGGCAACGCGAAGGGCTGCATCTGTCGTTGGCGGGGACCGCAGCGGACTCGGGCTGGGTAGCAGTGCCGATGCCGCCGCCGCAGCGCCCAACAACAGGCCGGCACGCTTCGATCTCATATGGGCGCGAACGGAGCAGAGGGTTCGAGCTTCTTGCCGTCCCCGGTGAAGGTCGGTCTACCGCGTTACATACATACATACCGCGTTGGTGTCCACTCCGAGCTGTTCTTCGCCTTTCTATCTACAATCAATCAGGCCAACTGGGAAGCCCGATCTTTCACCGACAGGGTCCCGTTTACAGGGAAAAGAAAGAAAGAAAACGGACAACCCAAGGGAGGAATGGGAGGACAGCACGCCGCCAGGGATTTCAAGGAGAGGAGTGTGGTGCTAGCCGTCGCCCACCCTTGGGCGTCTGCCTCTTCCTATCTCTCTTCGCAGTCCGTCGCCGATTCTCGCTGCAACCTCATGCCACCTCGCGGTCGTCCACCCCGAAATCCGGCTGATACGTCCCGACGTCGCAGACGGTGCACTGGTCCTGAGCAGGGTTGGCTGCGGTTCCTGCAGAGCACACGGCAGGCGCGGCGCCACCTCCCGCGCACGACGCGCCGGCGGGGCAAGCGAGGCACTCGGGGTCGCCGTCGGCGTCCGTCTCGTTGGCGTACGTGCCAGGCGAGCACTGCGCGTCCAGCTCGCGCGACGAGCCCTGAGGGCAAAACTTGCCAGCAGCGCAGCGGACGCAGGCGGCGGCGGCGGGCTGGTCCTGGTAGTAGCCCTCGGCGCACAGCTCGCACGCCTCGTTGCGGGTGCCGTTGGCGAAGCTGCCCTCGCGGCACGCCGTCTGCTCGTTGGAGCCGGTGGTGGCGAAGTGGCCCGGCGAGGCGTCGGTGCACTCGCTCGCAGCGGTGAGGTCCGTGGTGCTCGAGTAGCTGCCCGCCTCACATGGCAGCGGCGCCGCCGCGCCCTTGGCGCAGTAGTGGCCAGGGAAACAGTCGCGGCAGATTGTAGCACCCGTGCCGTTCTGATACGTCCCTCCGCCACAGCTGGCGCACTCGGAGAGTCCCACCGTGGCGGCGACGGTGCCTGGCCGGCACGGCGCGCACGCATCGCCGCCTTCCGCGCCCCGTGTTGCGCTAGCGGTGCCGACGGGGCAGGACTCGCACGCGGCGCTCGAGTTGGAGCCGTTGGCCGGGTTGAAGCTGCCCGCGGGGCAGGGCTCCCAGACCATGCTCGTGGCTGCTCCCTTCACCTCGCAGTAGCCGCCCGGCGGGCAGGGCTCGCACGACGCCTCGCCGACCGAGGAGGAGTAGCTCCCCGGGGGGCAGGGGTAGCACTCGGTGGCGCCGTCGCCAGGCTGGCAGAGGGGGGGGGGGCAGCGAGAGGGGGGGGTGGCAAAGGGGGTATGGAAGGGGGGGGTGGGGTGGCAGACGGGTATGGAGTACTGCACACTTTGGGGAGGGGGCCAGGTGGTGTGGGTGCCTGTGTGTGTGTGTGTTGTGCGTGCGTGCGTGCGTGCGCGTGCGTGCGTGCGTGCGTGCGTGCGTGCGTGCGTGTGTGTGTGTGTGTGTGTGTGTCGGCGGCGTCGGCCCGTTTGTTTTGCGTCGGCGTCCAGTCGACGGTATCTCAAATAGGGAACCGAAAGGTTACCAGGGCGGACACACCTAATCAGGCCCGAGCATTACTTTTTTATAGAGTCTCTGCCCAGTCCCCAGAATTTTAGGTACGCATGTTGCCCCCCCCCCCTGTTGGTCGATAACAGAAGCTCTCAGAGACAACAAGATACAAGAACACACAGTGTCGCACAGACAGACAGACAGCGAAAGAAACTTGCAGATACCTCCCCGCAAGGCGCGAGACACAAAAGATAGTGTCAATGCGTTCGGAGAGCTGTGATGTCTTGGCTGGAGAGGACGAGCTAGTGCGCATGTGCGTGCGCATGCTGGTGATCGTGGTCGTGGCCCTCCCCCGACGCGATCGCCCTCTCCCAGGCGTCGGCAAAGGGGTCGGGCAACGCGTCCCGCCACTTGTCGCCGCCGCCCGCCATCTCCTCATCGGTGAGCAGGCACTTGTCCAGCTCCGCCTTTGCAGCCGCGTGGTCGAGCTCCTGCCCGATGCACACCATCTCCGACTGGCGGTCGCCGTGCGCCTCGTCCCAGAGCGGCCCGATGTCTTCTTGCAGGCCCTCGGGCCACTCCTCGCGAGGCAGCGCCGCCCACCAGGGCGGGCCCGGCGTCAGCTCGAACTGCGTGCCTGCGAGCGCCAGGCTCGCTTGCTGCTCGTGCCGCGTCGCCAGCCACGCAATCCCCTTGAGCCGCAGCAGCCGCGCCAGCGCTCCTTCGCGCGGCCGCACGCACAGCGCCGCGTGGAGGCGCGCCGGGTGGAAGGGCCGCCTCGCGCGGAAGATGAAGGACGAGATGCCGTACTCGACCGTCTCGGGGACGTGCTGGTGTGCGCGCGCCTCGCGGAGCCAGTCGGGGTGCTCCTCCGCCTTGCGCAGGCTAAAGCGCGCCTTGCCGAGCAGCCGAGCCGGCTCGACGCGGCTGTGCTCCGAGCGGATCACCTCCGCCGTCGGGTTGACCTTGTGCAGCAGCCGCTCGACCGCGCCCAGCTCCACATCGCCCAGCAAGTCGGCCTTGTTCACCAGCAGGACGTCCGCAAACTCGATCTGCTCTGGCTCGCAGAGCAGATGCGCGACGCAGCGCTCGTCCCCGTCGCCCGCCTGCCAGCCGCGCTCCGCCAGCGTGTCCACCGACCCCAGCTCCTCGAAGATGGCCGCCGCGTCCACCACCGTGACGAGGTTGTGCAGGCTCGCGACGTCGCCCAAGCTCACGCCGCTCGCCTCGTCCGTGAAGGTGAAGGTCTCGGCGACGGGGAGCGGCTCCGAGATGCCCGACGACTCGACAAGGACGTGGTCGAAGCGGCCCTCGGCCGCGAGCGAGGCGAGCGAGGTGAGCAGGTCCTCGCGCAGCGTGCAGCAGATGCAGCCGTTGGACAGCTCGACCAGCTTCTCCTCCTGGCGCAGCACGTCGCCGCGCCGCACGAGCTCGGCGTCGACGTTGACGGCCGCCATGTCGTTGACGACGACGGCGATGCGGACGCCCGCCCGGTTTTGCAGCAAGTGCTTGAGCAGGGTCGTCTTGCCCGCGCCCAGGAAGCCGGAGAGCACAGTCACGGGCAGAGGCGGTACGCCCGCTGAACCGGCGCGCTCGCCGACAGCCCGCGCCGCCTCTTTGAGTAGGGCGAGGGGGGCGCCCTGATCGCCCGCACCCGCGTTGGCCGCCGAGGCCACGGCCGGCGCCTCCAACGCCGCGCCCACCGCCGCGCCCCCGTCCATCCGCGCCAGTATCAGCTCCACCTTGGCCTCGAGCGAGGAGAGCCGGCCGGTCACGTCGGCCGCCGCGGCCATCGTGCCGCCCGCCGCCCTGGCCGCCGCCGCCCCGACCGCCGCCGCCCTGGCCGCCGCCGCCGCCGCCGCGCCGCCCAGCGTTGCTGGCTTCGCTTCCCCCACATCAACAAGCGGTGGCACCGCGGGGGGCGCGAGGGCGGCGGCAGCGAGCGGGCTGGGCTCAAGCCACTCTTGCCCAAAGTAGCCTCCCCACTTGCTTGCCACCGCGCCGGCGCCCACCGCGGCTGCGACCCCGCAGGCAAGGGTGCGCAGGGCGGCGAGGGAGGCCGCGTCGTGCCGCAGCACGTGGATGGCGCGCGGCCAGGTGTACCTGGAGAGGCAGGCCTGCTGACGAGAGAGCCTTCCGTGGGTCTCTCAGCAGCGAGCAGCACGAGTGCCTCGGCTGATCTCGCGTGATCTCGGGTGGATCTCTCGCTGATCTCGCGTGATCTCAGGTGGATCTGGCTGATCTCGCGTGATCTCGGGTGGATCTCGCTGATCTCGCGTGATCTCGGGTGGATCTGGCGCGATCTCCTCACCAGTCGTACGAGTCTTCGTCGTCCGTCAGGTCCGCATCCTCAAGCGCGCCGGGCGGAGGCGGCCGCGCCGCGTAGAGCGGGTGGATGAGCGCGAAGCTCGCCTCGCCGGTCTCGCCGATGTGCAGTGCGGCGGGCGGGATGGCGGGGAGCCGCTCGAGCTCGGTGTCCTGCAGCGGTGAGGAGGCGCGGCGGGGAGGGGCGGTGAGATGGCAACAGAGGGGCGGTGAGGGAGGGGCGGTGTGTGGGGGGAGAGGGTGGGATGCGAGGGAGGGCGCGAGGCTCGAGCGGCAGTAGCGGCGGGGGGGGTGGGACTAGAGGTGACAGCGAAGCGGCGGCGCCGGCGGGTCGGGCGGGTGGGGGGGAGGGTGTGCGTGGTCGATGCGCCTTGTAGCTCTCGTCGATGTCGCAGCTGTCCATCGCGGCGCGGAGCGCCGCATCGGCCTAGGGCCATCGCCAAGCACACGCCTCCACACGCTGTGCGGGGGCGCAAGAGAGGGCTCTCTCCGCCTCCGCCTCTGACTCGGACGGGCGCAGCGCCACGCGCGGGATGCGCATGCCGTCCCACGCGCGAGGCGAGTCCAGCGAGCGCGCGAGCACGCAGCGGTTGCCGCGGAGGACCTGGTAGGAAGGCGCGGAGAAGGCTGAGAGAAGGGCTCCACCGTCCGGCGGCTGGCTTTGGCGGCGGCGAAGACCAGCGCTCCGACCCACTTCTGCTGATCAACGCCCTTCGCCGCGCTGGCCGCGGCCGCGAGGGGCTGCGGCGGCGCTGCTTCCGGCGGCGACACGGCCCGCGCGACCTCCCTCGCGTTGAGGCTGCGAAGGCAACGACGGGGATCGGTGAGGAGATAGGCAGCGGCTAGGCGAGGCACAGCAGCGAGGGAAGGAGGCGGCGGTGAGGAGGGAAGCGGCGGTGAGGAGAGAAGTTGCGGTGAGGAGAGAGGCGGCGAGGAGGGAGAGAGGAAGGGATCAGTGAGAGGCGGTGGTGGGTAGAGAGGCGGCGGCGAGGAGAGGAAACGGTGCGGCCCCACCTGCTCACGACGGTCTGCGGCTGCTTGGTCCGCGTGTTGAGCTCGAATGACCACTCGCTCCACCAGACGGCGCGGCCTACAGGAAGGTTCCTAGAAGGTTCATCAAAGGCGCACAGAAGGACCACTCGCTCAGCAGACTCTGTGAGGCCGGACGAGTCGATCTCGTCTGGGTCGAGCTGCAGGCTGGCACCGCCGGCCTCGAGCAGCGTGCCCCGGAGGTCGGCAGTGCCGAGCGAGAGGAGGGCGGCGTGGAGCGCCCTGCCCACCGTCACGTGCGAGTCGAGCACATGCGAGGTGCCGTCCGGGTAAGAGTGCCGTACCGCGCCGTCCCTGCGCTGGCAGTCGCGCTCGCTCTCGTACAGGACGTCGAGTGTGACCTTCGCCTGCGCCGGCTTGACGAGCAGCGCGTTCACCGCCGCCGAGCTCAGGTACGGCTTTAGCAGCGCAGCGCGCGTGACGGTGCCCCACTTGGCGCCGTGCTCGAGCAGGCAGAGCGCGAGGGGAGCGCTCTCTTGGATGCCGAAGAGGGTGATCCTGCCTCGGTAGCCGGAGCACAGCCTGTCGAGGACGCGGCTCACCGGCTTGCTGATCTGCTTGCCGAGGTGCCGGTCCGCGCCAGAGTCTGAGATCTCCTTGTCCATGATGGCGCGTGCGCTGCCCGACGACGGCATGAGCGGCGAACAATCAATCACAAAAATTGCGGGAGGGGCCGACTCCGTCGACAGGAGCGCGCGCTGGATGGCCGGGAGGATGCTGCCAAGGCGCACTGCGATCGGTGAGTCCGCCGAAGCTCTCGGTGATTCCGGCAACCACAGCACAATGGCGATGTGCTCGGGCAAAGATGACGTGCGCTTTGGGTGGGCGTGGCCGAGAGTGGCTGAGAGGCAGCCGGCAGTCGAGTACACGCCAGCGGCCTTGGCGCTGGCGACCTGGCGACTCTTCCTCATATCCGTGCTGCGGATGCGTGCTAAGAGTACCTCAAGAGTGCTCACGATCGAGAAGAAATCTTGTCGGGACGAGTCATCTCGAGATGCTCATCGACGCCACGCGTGTCAAAGCAGGTCTGCTTTGACGAGGCTCGGTGCTGTCGTGCCAAACACCGTCAACCGGGAGATGGTGCCGGAGGGGGACGTGGTCATCGGCGGCGACACCGGCTGGTGACCAGCCTGCGCCGGACGGACGCTCTGTCGTGGGGGCGTGTGACGCCGGGCATTCGTCGTCGCCGCGCACAGGGTGCTAAGCGAGTGGGGTCGGAGTGAGTGCGCAGTGAGCCGGGCGGGGGGCGTACAGCGGTTAGGCTGCCCCCGGTCCGCTTTCACCCCGAAAAGCTCGGCGCCGCACACCGTGCCCGCGAGTGAGTGAGTGAACTCTCACCGTGCCCCTCGATGATACCGCACATGCTTACGACCGAACCCGCCTGCCTGCCGCCTTTCGCAGCGTCATGGCCTACTGTGCAGAGCGTGTGAGCAGCAGAGGAGCTGCTCTCCAGGCTTCTGTCGCAAAGAGCTGCATGCCACCGAAGGCGCTGTCGAGGTTCGCCGAGCTTGGCGAAATCCGGGGACGCCGCCACCGACGAGCGCGTTGGACTTTTCACTCCGGACAAAGACAGGGACACAGCGGACGGTGCGGGGTGTGTCCCCGTCATAGCGGTGAGGCGCGGGACCGTCTGTGGCGAGGTGGGTCGCGTCCCCGGATTTCCGTCAACTCACGGTCCACACCCTCGTAGAGGGACCGATTTTTTTCTTATTCCGCCAAACTACAAGTGAACCCACACCGGTCACCGCCCACCACTGCGCTCGGTGATGCACCCGCTATGCTCTGCCGTCGGTGTGGACTGCCGCTCCGCTTCGAGAGCGCGTTTGCGGCGCGTCTCGGCCGGGGCTTCCGCCTCGGCCTCGGCTGCATCAGGGATGGGCGCGCCCGTGCCAGTGGGGATGGGGCACCAGCAGCGGGCGGAGGTTCTTCGTACGCGCGTCCCGATCATCTCGTGACGTGCGGCATGGGTCGGACAATGTGCTGAGCACTCGAGGCACGCCGGCTCTTCGCGGGTGGACTGAGAGCGGGCCCGCTCGAGGGCTTGCCGTGCCGACCTCCACCAGCCGGGGGACCTCCGGCCGGGGAGCCTTTGCGCGCCTCCCGCCTGGAGAGCGGCGTGCTGCGCAGACTTGCGCGCTTCGGCCCAGTGCGGCGGCGCTCCGAGGCGCCGCGCTTACCACTGGATCCCGCCGCCGCCGCTGCCGTAGAAGCCGCCGCCGCCACCCTGGGCGCCGTAGCCGCCGCCGTAGCCGCCGGGTGCGCCGCCGTACCCGCCGCCTCCCTGGCCGCCATAACCTGCGGGGCAAGGCTCAGAGAATCAGAGAAGGGGTTGAGACAGGGCGGGGCTAGAGGGGGCTCAGAGGGCGGCGGCGCTGCCTCCTCCGCCGTACCCGCCGTCTCCTCTGTATCCGCCGCCGCCGTACCCGCCGCCGCCGTACCCTCCTCCGCCGCCGTACCCGCCGCCGCTTCCGCCGCGCCGGTCCTCGCGGAAGCCGCCGATGATGCGCGTGGCGCGCTCCTTGCCCTGAGGGGTGGGAGGGGGGGGGGGCGGGGGGCGTGGGCTGGGCGAGGAGCGGGCGAGGGCGTGGAGCGGGCGAGGGCGTGGAGCGGGCGAGGAGCGGGCGAGGAGCGGGCGAGGAGCGGGCGAGGAGCGGGCGAGGAGCGGGCGAGGCGAGAGAAAGGGGCGGGCCAGGGACAGCACGGGGCGGGGGCGGCGCGGTGAGGGAGGGGGTGGCGAGGGAGGGGGCAGCGATGAGGGCGACGGCGGCGAGGGAGGGGGGCGGTGGTGGGGGCGGCGGCGGTGATGGCGGCGGCGGCGGTGAGGGTGGCGGCGGGGACGGCGGCGGCGGAGGCGATGTGGCGGCGGGGACAGCGAACCTTCTTGTCATCCCACTCCTTCACGAAATGGACCGCGCTGCCTTGGGCGAGTGCGTTGCCGTCGCTGATCTGCGAGAAGTGGCAGAAGAGGTCCTCCCCGCCGTCGTCGGGCGCGATGAAGCCGAAGCCCTTCTCACCGTTCCACCGCACCACCTTGCCCTGGATCAGGCCCTCTGGCGGCGGGCCCGAAACGCCGCCGCTGCCGCCGCCGCCGAGTGCATCCTCCTCGCCGCCGGTGACTTGCTCGGCGCGCTCCTTGCCCTTGCGCTCGTCGTACACCTTGACAAACTGCACCTGGGCGCCCTCCCGCAGCATGTTGCCGTCGAGGATGGACGAGTAGTGGCAGAAGAGGTCGCCGCCGCCGTCGTCGGGCTTGATGAAGCCGAAGCCCTTGTAGTTCCAGCGGAGGGCTGTGCCGGTGCCCCGCGGGCCGGCATCGCCCGCGCCGGCGTTGCCCGTCATCGCTGCGTCGCCCATCATTGCCGGCGAGAGAGAGAGAACGCACAGACGCCGCGGAGCTGCCTGTCTCCCCGATGAGCCGGAGGTAGTGCCTTTCTTGAGCACACCGAGCCACCGAGCACCTCCTAGCCGAATTGTCTCAGCCCCCAAAGGCGTGGATGCCAATCTTGGAGAGAGAGAGAGAGACAGAGAGAGAGAGAGTTTTTGTTTTGTAATCTTGGTGGTAAGGCCGGAGAGCCAAACAAAGCGGCGGAGATGGCGGGGGAGGGCGGGGGATCGAGGAAAGCACGACTCGCACCGACCTTTCCGAACCGAAAGGCCGTGCCCGGCGTGCAAGGGGCACGGAATACTTAAATTTTTGAGGGGCGCCCTTTCTACATCCTGGTTCCGTTCACACTTCTGCGCAAAGTGAGGGAGACACTTGCAGGACACACGGAGTACGACACGCTCCCACCGCAAGCGCAGCGAGAGCAGCAAGGCGCAAAGGCGCTATGGGCTACGCTCCGCCTCGCTCTCCCGACACGCAGCCAGTCGGCGTCAAGAAGAGACGCTCGCCGAAGCCCGGCCCGAGCCACATCATTGACCTGCGGCCGGCGCTCGAGGCAGTGCACGTCAGCAGCGCGCGGTGCGCCCTTGCATATCTGCCGTGGGAGTTGGGCGTTCGACCCTCCACTCCAGAGAAGGAGCAGAGGCCACCGGACGCCGGGCTAAACCTGCGCAGCGAGAAGGATCAGAGGTCCGGGCCACCGGACGCTGGGCTAAACCTGCGCAGCGAGAAGTCGCACGCTGGCGAGCGCGATGCCGGGCCGCAAAAGCTGCGTGTCTCGCGCATTTGTGTCGAGGACATTGTGTCTGCCCAGATTGACGCGTGCGATCCGCTGAAGACCCTCCCCGCGGCCGACTTCTGCCACGTGCTCTCCGAGGTGACGGACATAGTGGTGCGGGTCATGACCAAAGGCGAGCGCGCGGTGCGTGCCAGACCCCGTAGATGCTGAAAGCACGGGCCTCCCGACGCTACTCTCACTCAATACTTGAGAATCACCGCGGCATCCCCAACGCAGGTGTGCGACGGCGAGGACCTCGCCTTCATCAGGCGGCGCGTGCAGGAGCTGGTCCAGCCAGGGCCGGGAGCGTTGGAGGGCATGGTGGTGTACGATTACGAGCAGGCTAGCAGGCGGGGCGAGCGGCGGCGCGCGGCGGCGCCGTCGACAGAGCGCTTCCAGCGGTACGACCACGTGGCGTGCCGGCTGGACGGGGGCACATGGGCCAGCGGAGTCGTGCACCTGCACGCCAAGCTGCCCTTCGTGCACGTGAAGCTGATCGACCCGGACGACATGTACAACCACGAGGCGGTCCAGGATGCACTCGGTGGCAGCCTCCACGCCGCCGCTCACATCTCCCTCCCTTAGCCGCGGCGCCATCTCCTGCTGCAGCATCGACGCGAGCCACGTGTCGCTCAAGGCTCTGCGCGCGCCGACGCCGGTGCGGGCCTCGATGCGACGCGACTCGGTGAAGACCGCGAGCAGCACTCCATTCTGAGCCGCCGCCTGGCCGACGCCCCAGAGATCGTACAGCGCTGCCGTGAACTGGATATGGTCCTGCACTGACGCAGTCTCATCCCCCAGCCGCTCGAGAACGACCAGAGCCATCTGCGCCTTGCCCGTGGCGCCAAGCGCCGATAACCGGCCCTCCAAGCGCGCACGCGACTCGGCCGAGAGCACGCTTCCAGCGTCCGAGACAAAACCACTCGGAGGCCGAGTGACGTCGGACGGCGACGTCGGCCGCGTGGAGAGGAGGCGTCGGCAGAGAGCGCCAGGCGCGAGGCGGTGGGAGGTTGTGGGCCACAGCGCCCGCATGGAGTGAGCGAGTCAGTCAGTCTTGCACAAGTCGAGCCTCTGCACTCGGAATGCCTGTCGCGGCGACGCAGACGTGCACCTGATGACCTGTCCCGCCCTCTTCCCCGCCCTCCCGCAAGCAGCTCGACACGATGGACACGCTGGTCGACCGCGGATGGCAGGCCACCGAGGGCGACCAGCGCACGGTCGCGCACCTGCTTTGGCGACAATGACGTTGACAATCCGCTCCGTCTCGCTCACTCCCTCGATGGGGGTCGAATTTGGCCAGTTGACAAAGTGTTTGACGACCGAGTCGTAGTGAATGGTTCTCGAACGCGCTTCCAGTTCCGTGATGTGCATGAGAATGTTCTCCGCGACTTCCGGTCATCGGTCTTGGAGAGACCCTGACGACGATGACCGAGACCAGATTCTAGAGGCGCGATGACGTGGCCTTGTTGAACTCGAAGAGGGGCAAGTCGTAGGGGGAAACCCGTATTGATTCTTGAGTCCTTCAATGCGATAGAGAACCACGTCTTCGGGGCGGACACCCGGTAGTTTCGGATAAAGATGAGCAGGTTGAGGACACCGCCATCTACCTTTGGCACCGCGCGAAAAAGAATTAACACGTAAAACAGCCGCCCAAGCGAGTTGCCAGCACGGCGAAAAGAATTCCTAGACGCCGCACCTCCCTCCCTCCCTCACTCCCAAGGTACGTGTCTGTCCTCAACCCAGCCCTAGCTTGGGATTCTTTATTTATTTCCCTCCCTCCCAGATCAGCCTCCCGGCGGCGTTCCTCTTCCTCAGGCATTATCCACGCTCCCTTTTTTCCTTTGGAAACCTCCTGGAAAACCGGGCGCAGGATACATACAATCAGCAACTCAAATCCGCTCACGCGCCACACGGTTTGTCCCGTCGCGCCGCCGGCGACGCCCTAGAGAGAGGTCAGAGGACGGGAGACACGGTCGGCAGTACAAGTGGACCAGTCACGACCCTAGTGGGAGCCCCCTGGTGCGTGTGGTGTTGTGAGGAATGAGGTCATGTCTCATGAGGAGAAGACGAGAGAGGCAGAGGACGAGGGAGGGTGGCCATGAGGTCAATCGCCTCACATCACGCCCGCCTCCCGCGCCCACGCCTGGAGGTCAAGCAGCCGGGGGACAAGCCCCAGTTGCGTGGGCACGATCCCTATCACGCGCTCGAGCAAGTCGAGCCGCAGCAGCGGCGGCTTCCCCTCCACGTCGAGGCCGAGGATTGCTTCAAGTTGTGACATCTGACCGAGCACGCCGCCGGCGCGGCGCGAGGCATCGCCGACCGCGGCGGGAGCGGCCGCCGCGCCACCGACGCTACTGCAGGCGCCGCCGGCATGGCTCGAGCAGGGCGGCCCCCTCTCTCCCGCGGAAGCACTCACGCCCAGCGTGGCGTCCGCGAGAGGCGGCCCTCTCGCTGCCGGGTCGGCGGCAGCGGGCAGCGCCATCGCCATCTCGCCCCAGCCGCAGGCCTCGCCGTGCCGACGCGTCGCCGTCGCCGTCGGCCCGTCCAGCGAGTTTGGTGCGACAGTGGGCCGCCCGCTTACAGAGGGATCGGGCCTCGGCGGCGCATGCGGGGCCGCGCGCTTTTCAACACCCGCCGCACCCGCCGCCGCCTCTGCTCCGCCGCCGCCGCCCGCTGTGCGCGCCTCGCCCAGCTGTCGTAGGGCGCTAGCATCACCTCGGATCGCGCTCGCCGCACCTGCGCCTCCGTCCCCATCAGGCAGACGAGCCGCGACTCGTCGCCCCAGCCGGGGGGCGGCCCCTCCTTGTCCAGGATGAAGATGTGCGCCCCGGTGCGCTTGCACAAGTCCCGGTACGCCGAGCCGCCCGCCCCGATGAGTCTGCCGATGTGCTCGCGCGGATAGCGCGGCGCGGCGTCGTCGCCACCGCCGCAGCAGCGGCAACAAAGGGCACTGCCAGAGGGGCAGCTCCTCGCCGGCTTCCCGGACTGGTCGGTCTCCGCGCAGGCAATGGGGCGCAGGATGGCCGAGGTCTCCAAGAAGGCGGAGGCGGAGGCGGCGGCGGAGGCGCGGGCGGCCGCAGACGCGCAGAAGCGGGTCGAGGCGGAGTCCAAGAAGGCGGCCCGGCGCGACGCTGACGAGTCAAAGGTCGCCGCCGCCGCGAGCAAGAAGGCGGAGGCGGAGGCGGCGGCGGAGGCGCGGGCGGCCGCAGACGCGCAGAAGCGGGTCGAGGCGGAGTCCAAGAAGGCGGCGGAGGCGGAGGCTCGCCGCGCGTCTGACGAGGCCAAGGCGGCCCGGGCGGCGGAGGAGCGGGCGGCCCGGGCGGCGGCGGACGAGGCGCGCTCGGCGGCAGCGGCGGCGGCAGCGGCGGCAGCGGCGGCGGCAGCAGCGGCAGCAGCAGCGGCGGCAGCTGCGTCCACGTTACGCGACGGCGAGAGAGAGCGCGCGGTAGAGCATGGAGCGCTGGCGGCTGAGCTTGAGCCACGTGTCCGCAACCTTGGGGAGTCCGAGATCGCGCCCGTCCAGCAAAAGTGGCAGCATGCCGTGCACGAACCTGCCCACGACCTCGCCGACGGTGCCCCGCAAGCCGCACTGCGCGAACATGTTGCGCGCGCTCTGCTGCAGGGCGTTGAGCGGCAGAGGAGGCGGCGCAGGGGCAGGCGCAGGCTCGGAGGCAGGCGCATCGGGGGCAGGCGCGGAGGCGGGCGCAGCAGCGGGTGGCAAAGCGAGGTCGTCGGGCGGAAGCAATATTGGCTCGCCCTCGCGGTCTCGCTTGCGGCCGGTCTCAAAGCGCGACGAGAGCAGCTCCATGCCGGCTTGCAGCTCCTCGCACTGCTGCGACTTGAGCCGCTGCCGCCGCTTGGCCTGGCCGTCCGGCGAGAGGCGGGCAGTAGCGAGCAAGTCCACGGCCTTGGCGTTAGGACTCCCAGGACTGCCTCGGCCGTCTGCGTCAATGAGCTCCGCCTCGTACTGTTGTGGGGACATGCGCCCCGACGCCTTCCGGTGGTCTAGGTCGGTGATATCGCCCGCCGTGTACCCTCGCATGCCCTCGCATGCGCGGCAAGAACGCCGTCAAGTTGTCGACGCTGGCGCGCTGGGTCTCGTTCATCACCTGCAGCGCCTCCGCCCCAAACGTGGCGCTGATGCCCAGGCTCATCTCCCGCTCCTCGTGCTCGGCAATGACGGTCCGCATGACGGAGACAAACGGGTGCTCGAGGACGGGGTGCAGCAAGCGCTTGAGCAATTCGAAGGTCTGCAAAGGCGTAGGAGAGTCCTCATAGATGCGCCAGTCCCCGCTGCACATCCGGCAATGCGAGTGGATGAGGAGGACCTTGATGAGCGTAGTCTCAAAAAAGTTCTGGGCTATGCCGCCCCCCTCGGAGGTGGCGTACGCGGTGTAGGCGGCGAGGAAGCCGGGGGAGAGGAGGATGAGCGCCATGTCAGTCAAGTCCTCCTCGTACTTTGAGTCGAAGAGCTGCGTTATGGCGCACAGATAGGCGTCCATGCGCGGGTCCTTGCCCCGGTAGTGCGCTGCGTTTTTCGTGCGTGAGGTTGGCGTGATGGCTCTTGTACACGGCGTCCGGGACCTTTGAGCGCCCGTGCTGCGCCGCGTGTTGCGCAGTCCCTCGTGAGCAGGACGGGTCAGACGTGTTGCCAAGCACAAAGAGGTTGCGCACCTGCGAGAGCACGCCGCCCTGCGTGGGAAGCCCGAGTGATTTGGCGACAGTGATGAGCGTGTCCATGTTGAGCTTGGCGGGCGCGGACGTGACGTCGTTGATGTTGGTGGTCAAATATGGGAGGTCGGGCCGCGTCGCTCCTGGCTCCCAGTCAGGGGGGGCTTTGCACATGAACTCGTTCCCGTACTGCAGGAGGCGCACGAGGCCGGTTGAGACAATCGGGCAAATAGAAAAGATGCGCGACGGGATGAGAACGAGCGGCATCTCGGAGGTGCCGTTCTTCGGCTCGTGCTCCAAGTTGAGGGCGGGCGGGTTCCGGTCGACGGGGTTGTACCTAAAGCGAAGGACTGGTTGACGCACAGCTTTTGTGCGCGAGGGCCGAGGAGGGCGTGGCAGAAGATCTGGTGCGCGAGCGCGAACTTGTATGTCTCGCACAGCGACGTGGCCTCATGCGCGCGGGTCAGGCAGCCAGTCGCCAGCGTAATGCCGTCTGCGTAGTCATACTTCATCAGGTGCCGCCTGAGCGCTTGGCCGGACTCCCGCTTGCGCTTCTGCAAGTCCTTCCGCGACTGCTTCATCAACGAGTCGAACTCCTGGATCTCGTTGCACCAGCCCTTCAGCATGGCGACGCCGAGGTGCGCTGAGAAGCAGTGCCGCCACGCAGAGAGGACGCCGCGGCAGTGGTCGTACAGGACGCGGGGTGTGCCGTCGCGCGGCATGAGGAGGAACCCCCGCTCGCCCCAGAGCACGGCGAGGCGCTGAAGCTCAGAGCGCACGCCGCTTCGCTCGTCGCGCCAGCCCGTCGTGTCGCCGCCGATGCGGTGGACCCAACCGTCGAAGGTCTCGCCCGGAGCGGGGCCGTCAGCCATGAGGATGCGCAACCCGCACGCCCGCTGCGCCGCGCCCGTCGCGCTGTCCACCGCCGCCATAGGCAGAGAGCGCGCGCGGGAAGTCGCCGACGCGCTCGGGACTCGCGCCACTTCCAAACAAAGAAAAACGAGCGTGCTGGGTGGCTATCTCGCGCCCACCGCCATTTCTCGCAAAACCCCGCCGGGGGGGGACTCAGGGCACACTTAGGGACACGCAGGAGGCCTCAAAAATCATGAATACCAAAAAAAAAATCGAGGAGAGAAACTCGAGACCTTTTTTACACAACGCACGTTTCAGCACGCTACGATCCTCATCCACATGACCGCCTCCGCCCTACACACCGGGCAATGCCGCATGCGCGCCGAGCATGCCTCGCATGCCGAGAGGTGCCCACACGGCACGCATGCGTGGCTCTTCGGCCTCGAGAAGCACACGATGCACGTCGTCTCGCCACCGAGGGTGGACTCGGGCACATCCGGTCGCCCCGT